GAAGACAAACGATCCAATCAAAAAATGGGCAAAGGGCCTGGGCAGATGCTTTTCTAAGGAGGAGATACAGAGGGCCCAGAGGCATTTGAAAGGATGCTCGGCATCACTAGCCATAAGAGAAATGCAGATCAAAACCACCATGAGGTACCACCTCACACCGGTCAGAATGGCCATCATAAACAGATCCACAAATAACAGGTGCTGGCGAGGCTGTGGAGAAAAGGGAACCCTAGTCCACTGTTGGTGGGAATGCAGACTGGTGCAGCCACTATGGAAAGCAGTGTGGAATTTCCTCAGAAAGCTGAAAATGGAACTGCCTTTTGATCCAGTGATTCCCCTGCTGGGACTATACCCTAAGAACACCAAAACGCCAATACAAAAGAACCTATGCACCCCAATGTTCATAGCAGCACAATTTACAATAGCCAAGTCTTGGAAGCAACCTAAATGCCCAGTAGTAGAGGATTGGATCAAAAAATTATGGTACATATACACAATGGAGTACTATGCAGCAGAAAGAAAAAAAGAAGTACTAAACTTTGCGACAGCATGGATGGAACTGGAGAGCATCATGCTAAGCGAAATAAGCCAGGGGGCGAAAGACAAATACCATGTGATCTCACCTATAAGCGGAACCTAACCAACAATGCAAAGATGCAAGGAAAATATGACCAGCAACACTGAAAGGAAAAGAAATCAACAGAGACAAGAGGGAAGGGGGGGGGCAGGGAAAGGGAAGGGAAGGGGCAAGTCAAGGAACATATAGCAAGGACTCATGGACAAAACCAAAGGGGAATAGCTGAGGGAGGGAAGACGGGAGGGAGCAAGGGAAAGAGATGGGGGGGAGGCAGAGACAAATGTATTTAAAAAGTAAATAAATTAAAAAAAATAAAAAAATAAAAATAAAAAAGAAAAAAAAGAAAAAAAGAAATTAGAATGATTTTAAATAAACAACTTAATTTTACACCTCAAGCAACTAGAGAAAGAAGAAAAATGTAAGCTCAAAGTTAGCCAAAGGAAGAAAATAAAGACTGGAAATCAATTAAATCAGACCAAAAAAAAAAAAAAAAAAAACCAAAACAAACAAAACATAAAAGGATCAGAGAAACTAAGAGCTGGTATTTCAAAAAAATTAAAAATGTTGACAAACCTTTAGTTAGACTAAGGTAAAAAAGAATAAGAAGCCTCAATAAAATGAGAAATGAAAGAGGAGACATTGGAATTGATACCACTAGAATATACAGGCTCATAAGAGACTACTGTGAAAAGCTATATGCCAACAATTCAGATAGCCTAAAAGGAATGAATAAAATTCTGGAAATATACAACCTACCAAGACTGAATCTGGAAGAAATAAAAAATCTGAAGAACAGAGCAATAAGTTAAGAAATTAAATCACTAATCAAAACCACAGAAAAAATAAATAAAGGCTATGACCAAATGACTTCACTGGTGAATTCTACCAAGCATTTAAATAAGAATTAATGTCAATCCTTCTCAAAATCTTAGAAAAGAATTGAAGATGTGGAGACACCTTCAAACTCATTCTACAAGGCCATCATTACTTTGATACCAAAGCCAGATATGGAAACTACAAGAAAAAAAAAAACCTATAGATCAGTATCACTATAAATATAGATGCAAAAATTCTTAATAAAATATTAGCAAACTGAATTGGACACATTAAAAGGATTATACACCATGACCAAGTGGGGTTTATTTAAGGAATAGAAGGATGGTTCAGTACACACAAATCAAAGAATATAATATATTAATATAATTAATTATAAAACTCAAATGATCATTACAATAGATTGAGAAAAAGCATTTGACAAAATACACATCCTTTCATGGCAAAAAAATAAAAAACCTCTCAACAGATTGAGTATAGAAGGACATACCTCAATATAATAAGGTCTTATTACAAACCCATGGCTAACATTAAACTCAATTGTAAAAGAACAAAAGCTTTTCCCCTAAGATCAGGAAAAAGACAAGGTTGCCCACTCTTACCACTTTTATTTAATATAATATTGGAAGTCTTAGCTAGAGCAATTAGGCAAAGCAAAGGAGTAAAAGATATCTAACTAGGAAAGGAAGAAATAAAAATTGTCACTATTTGCAAATGATAGGATTTTGTATATAGAAAATCCCAAAGACAAGAAGAAGAAAATATTGGAACAAATAAAAAAAAATTAGTGAAGTTGCAGTATATAAACTGTACTTACAGAAAAGAGTTGCATTTTATATTAATAATGGGACATCTAAAACATAAAGAAAAAAATTACCCCATTCACAATAGCATCAAAAACAATAAAACACCTAGGAATACATTTAACCAAGAAGTGAAAAATTTGCACAATATAAACTACAAGACTTTGTTGAAAGAAATTGAAGAAGACAAACAAATCAAAATACATCCCTGTTCATGGGTTGGAGTAATTAATATAGTTAAAATGTCCTCACCACCCAAAGCCATTCAATAAAGTCTCTATCATAATTGCAATGACTTTCTTTAAAGAAAATAAAATTCTAAAATTTATGTGGAACAACAAAGGAACCTGAACAGCCAAAGCAATCCTGAAAAAGAACAAAACAGAAGGTATCACACTTCCTGATTTCAAACTATACTACAAAGCTACAGTAATTAAAATAGTATAGTACCAGCATAAAATAGACATATAAACCAATAGACGAAATTAGAGAACTCAGAATTGAATCCCCATCTATTCAGTCAACTAGTATTCAACAAGGGTGCCAGGAACACCTGATGGGGAAATGAGGGTCTTTTGGGAAATCTGGACACACACACATGCAGAACAATGAAAGTGGACCCCTGTCTTACACAACTCACAAAATTAAATTGAAATGGATCAGAAACTTAAACCTAAGACTATTTTAAAAAACTCATAGAAGAAAATGTAGGGAAGAAGCACCTTGACATTGATGTTGGCAATGATTATTTTGAATATGATACTAAAATACACACCAGAAAAAAACAAACAAAAAAAGGCACTATATCAAATCTAAAAGCGTTTGCACAGCAAAACAAACAACTAACAAAATGAAAAGGCAACATACAGAAAGGGAAAAAATGTTTTGCAAGCCAAATATTCTAAAGGGGTAAATATCCAGAATATATAAAGAATATATACAACTCAGTGACAACAACAACAACAACAAAACCTAAACAATCAAATTAAGCAACAGAGGAATTAAATAGTCTTTTTCCAAAGAAAACATCTGAATGGCCAACAGGTGCATAAAAAGATGCCCATCACTAATCATCTGGGAAATGCAAATCAAAACTACAATGAGATACTAGCTTACACCTGTCAGAATGGGTAGCATCAGGAAGAGATAACAAGTTTAGGTCAGGATGTGAAGGAAAGAAAACTCTTGTACACTGTTGGCAGGATGTTTTTTGGAAAACAATATGAAAACTCCTCAAAAATTAAAAATAGAACTACCATATAATTTAGCAATTCTACTTCTGGATACATATGCAAAGTAAATGAGGTAGAATATGAAAGAGATATATATGTACTCCCATTTTTATTGCAGCATTATTTATAGTGGTCAAGATACAGAAACAACGTAAGTGCCTATCAGCAGATGAATGGATAAAGACAGGGTATATATACATAATGGAATATTATTCAGCCATGAGAAAGACATCCTGTCATTTGTGCCAACACACATGGACCTTGCTAAGTGAGATAAGTTAGAGAGAAAAAGGCAAATGCTATGTGTTATCATTTGTATGTGGAACATAAAAAAGCCAAACTTGTAAAAACAGAGTAAAATGGTGGGGTGATAGGTGGTTGGTGGATGGATAGAAGTTGTTTAAGGGTAAAACCTTGCAGCAAGTACTAAGTCCTAGAGATCTAATGCACAGTACAGTGCATATAGTCAACAATGTTGTGTTATAATCAAACTTGCTACAAGACTAGAATTTCTTTCATAAAATGGGTCCATTACTTGCTTGTGATGTGTTTAATGTTTCTACAAGTCAAATCACTGAAAAAAATTCTATAGACTAACCTGGGAAGCAGAGTGATGATGGCACCAATTTAAAAAATCATTAAACTTTAAATTGCATTCATATAATGATACAGATATATCTTAAATAAAGACAAGCTAATATACACATTGGCAAAAAGATGAGCTTGTCTGTTAGAACTAAATTCAATTTGACATTTCTGGTATTACTGAGACAGCTTATTTGGAACATAAGATCTTGATGACAGAGACCAAAAATCAATCATTTTTCCCCAGAGTTTGCTATTCAAACACAAATTCTTTCCATACCTTCTGTAAAGTTGCTGACTTGCTTAGTCTCTTTAAAATGGAAAAATGCAGTAACCCCTGCCCCCAAATAGAACAGGAAATTCATAAATTCTATTGTAATCATTAGTCTCAGCCTCTTCGATCAAAATTTACCCCAACTTCATTATTTTCTCCATTCACTCATATTTTTCAAATTCTTTTAAAGTTCAAAGCAAAACAGTCTTCTACCTAATTAAGATCTCCCAAATTGCCTAATTTCTTTTTTTAAAATTTTGTTCTACTACATGAGTGAACTTAAATGTTGTATTATAAAACAGTTAAAAATTAATTTTGCATTGGCATTTCGTAAACTTATTAGAGACTAAAGACCTAATCCTATACACATATATGTGAAGAGTACCAATTGACACCACTTGTATTGGGCTTTTGCTTTCTCAGTGAACTAGAGTAACTGTGCTCTCCCCCAGTAAACAAGCGGTCAAAGACATATAGAATGAAGTGAGTAAAGGATCCAAAACACATTCCAGATAGTCATGAGATATGGTTATATGCATTTCATGTCAATAATTTATGAGAGGCAGTGTGTTATTGACAAAGGAGAACTGAAATAGTTATTAAATAACAAATCTACTAATTCTAGACCTTGGACAAACCTCCTGAGTTATACCTCAATGTTCTCATCTGTTACTCCTCCTCATCCATGTCCTTACCAGAGCTGCTGCAGTGGGAGGGGTCAACGGGTCTTCCATTTTTATCAGAGCAGGCTATCGCTCTAAAGCGTATGCCCTTTCCACATTGTTTGCTGTCTCCTTGCACCTGGACTCCTCGCAGAGGCTCCCTTCTGCTTTCAGGAAGAATGCAATCTGACCAGTTTCCATAAGGTTGAGATATAAATATATCACAAGGACATAGCTCTGTTTCCATTAGAGGGTACAGGTCAGGTTCCTGGCATTTCTCCTTCTTCCTGCTCTTTCCTGTTCCAACAAGAAATATTAATGTATTAATTTCATATCCACTGTTTTGTTAAAAGTCACTCATGTTATTATATTTAAGAGCTCTTAAACTATTAAGTCTTAAATAAAATGAAGTCTTTCTTATTTTCACTCCTTTGTGCATGAAATTAAAATCCTAGGTCAATGAAAGCAATTCCCAGAGTAACTGTGAGATTCAAGTTAACGTTTTTTAAAAAAGTGTTTTTATGTTAGAGAGTGGCACAAAATACTTAGGAAATGTTTGCTACAGTGGCTCAACAGCCAGAAGATTCTTGTTTATTTATTATTTTTCTAATAATTTGTTGATACAAACAGATCAATTACCTGTCACCATTTTCCGTGAAACTAGCAGTTGCCAGGGAAGTTGACAAAATGGTGTAACTACTGACTCCTTCCCCTTTTTTTTCAAGTGACTTTTTAAAAACAGAGATTATTTATTCAAGAAACAAAATAATATCCTCCCATACAATGGAGTGAGGCTGAGGGTCAGTTGGGTATGACAAAGTAGAACGAATTTTGGTTCCCATCATCCAGCAGTTCACAAATACTGACAGAAGCAAGATTGACATAATTGCTCAAATCATATTGGATAATTTAATCTGAGAAAAATCTATGCAAGACATTGAGAGACCTTTTATAACTTTAGTATTCTAGAATATGACTTCACTTTACCAAATGACTTTATCAACTGTTTAGTTGCAATCCTGACTTTCAATAATGACAATGCAGAGTCATTTTTTTCACAGCTCTGAGTACTTGATAATCATGTTAATGGATTCCAAGGTTGCCTGTAACTTGATTCAACTTTTCGGTCAACACACTTCTTCTAGATCTCTGCAAGTTTTCCTAGATCTAGTAATTCCACTTTTTGTCTCCTCATTAGTGGATCATTAGCTAGTCATGATCAGTTATTATGAGTAGGCATCTTTATTGATCTATTTCCAGTCTTTATGGCTCTTTTAGAAATACTTGGTACAGGCTGATGCATGGACTACTTTCTCCTTGTTAGACAGTTTATATTATATACAACAGTTTTACAGTTGTCACCTCATGATTGGCTCTATGGCCTTCCCTGATTCTTATGGCCACAATAAACAAGGATTCCTACAGGGCCTAAAATGATCTTGGGGAAGCTTCAAACACACCACAGTCCCTCTGGGAGCATGTATTCACTTGTCTCTCCCATTAGGGTCACTTACTGAAAATATGTTTGAAAAACACATGTATTTTATGGCTGTGAAAATTTACTGGTTGAAAGATATATCAGTGGGTAGTGATTGGTTTCTTTCCATCAGCATTTCACTCACCCAAGTCTCTGGTGTTTTCCAAATGTCCATAAAGTACTATTGTCTCCATCTCTTCTATTTCTACTGTCTTCTCAAGACACTTAACCTTGGATTCTGAGTCTATATATAGCTTGAAACTACTTATTCTTGCCACAGTTATGAAATAAAGTTCTGGAATGCCTTTTTATTCTTTATTTTTCAGACTTGGTTGTTTAATGATGGTTCGGAGCATGACTGCAACATCATTCTTGCAATATTCTTTCCAAGTTTCATCACACATTACTTGTTTGTCCCTCACCCCTACCTCACACACCACTGTCCCTCTAGGCAGGCCTTATTTGTTTATGTTTGAATTTTTCTCCCTCTGTATCTCCCTTAACTGAGAGGCTTCCTGGAGGCACTGCCCTAGATTTTCTACTTTTCTGGTCCTAAACCTTTACTCACACATAGAGTTTAAATAACTATTCAGAATTCTTAAATCCCTCACTGTTATCCTCAGCCCACATTCCTCCCTCAAGTTTCTCAGCCACAGACTAGAAATCCACACCTAAAGAACCAATCAATTCAACCAAGCAAAACCCACACTCATCCTCTTAATATTACTATCTATCTTTCTTCTTCTATATTTCCCAATTCTATCAATGTGGCCATGTTGAAAACTGGAATGTCATACTTGGATCATCCTGTTGTACTACCTATATCTGTTTAATGGCAAAAACCTATCATTTCAAATACCTGTATATCTCTTGAGTCTGGTCATTGTTTCCTTTCTTACCGATACAACCCACATTTAACTCACCTCCAAATCACCACCTTAAATCACTACAACGACTTCCTCCAAAATCTTATTGCCACTACCTCATTCCCTTATATCTAGTTTCCAAATTGCAGTCAGGATCAGCTTATAAAGATTGCAATCTATCATATCATTCATCTACTTTAACTCTCTAGTGACATCACAGTTCACAGAATGAAATCTGGACTTCTCAACATAGTTATCAAGAATTCATAGGATCTGAGCCCATAAGTGTCTGCCTCCTGCCTGTGTTGAACCACTCAGCCTCTGGCATATGTGGATGAAAAGGGTGTTGTAATAAACTATAAATCCCTAACTGAGCAGGTCATGGTGAGTAGTCATGCCCCATGCCTTTCACTTCTTTAGTGGAAGGTTTTTAAGCAAGCCCCATTCATTGTTCTTATGAATCTAGGTTAACACGCCTTTGAAATGACAAAAGAAATGTCCCTTGAAGGTGTAACCACCCTTAAAAAAGAACACAATCTTGTAATCCAGTCCCTGCCTTGCTTTTTTCCACCCTCATATAATCTTTCTTAATTTCAAATGCATAAAAGAAAGAGCCAAACTGTTATCGTCTGGAGCATTTGAGATCTTGCTCCCCAGAATATGCTGTCAGTTTTGGCTCAGATAAACTCTTATAAAAATTCTCTGCAGGTTTGGACATTTCTTACACTGACACATATTTTAAGCTAGAAATATTGAACATTTTTCAGTTCCTACAAATTTGGCTCCTGGACTTTGCATGGCCTACCCAGATGTTTTCACCAGTTCTATCCTCTCCCCAAAGCCTACTTAATGCCTACATGTCCTTCATGTCCAAATTAGATCGCTCTCTCCACAAAGCCATGTTGAACACACTCTTCATCTCAGGTCTAGATGAGTGTTCTTCTCATATAGTTTGTATGGGCATAACAGTGGCTCTCCAATGATGTACACATCCTAATCCCTGAATTTAGGAGCTAACATGCTCCATTATGTGGCAAAATAAAACTTTGTAGATGTGACTAAAATGACAGATTTGAGATGAGATTATTCTGGATTATTTGGGTGGGTCTAACTTAATCACGTGGTCTTAAAATTAGAGGGCTTTTCCTGATAGGGTACAAAGTCAAAAGACATATGACTACAGAATGATAGTCACAGAAATGCAATATTACTAGATTTCAAGATATAGAGCCATGATCCAAGGCATGTGAGCAGCCTATAGAAGCTGGAAAATAAATTGATTTCACCCCAGAACCTCCAGAAAGGAATTCCATCCTGCCAATGTCTTGTCTTCAGCCCTGTGAAATGCATTTCTGACATCAGACCTACAGAGCTTTAAGATAATAAATTTGTGTTGTTTTAAGCTAACAAAAATTGTGGTTATTTGTTCCAGCAGCAATAAGAAACCAATACAACACCCTTTATAATAGTTATTGGAGCAGGTACTACACTGTGTTGTACTACACTGGTTACCAGTCAGGTACTACACTAGTAAAAATCTCTACCTCCCCTTAGACAGTAAGCTCTAAGTTAAAATCATGTCTATCTAATTTCCAGAGCCTACCATGCATAAGTGGTAAACAAAAAAATGTTCACAGAATGATTGAAGAAAGAAAATTTTAAGAAGGGAGAATAAAAGAGGAAGAAGGTAAGAAAAAAGAGAGTAAGTGAGATAAAGAGAGACAGAGGAAGAAGAAAGAAAATGTTCATCTACAGGGCAATCAAAAGCTATTGGCAGAACAAATATTCTCTACAATATACAGTGTCTCTACATTAATGTTATCTTTCTTAATTTTATGGTGTCTCTGTTTGAAGGATTTGAGCAAGTTAGTTAACACAGATATGGTTCTCGCAATGAAGAACAAATGATCACTGATCCTTTGATTACCTTCTAATCAAAATAAGCATTAACCTCTTGGATGGGAGGTACATATACACAATGGAACACTACGCAGCAGAAAGGAAAAAAGAACTACTAAACTTCGCGACAGCATGGATGGAACTGGAGAGCATTATGCTAAGCGAAATAAGCCAGGGGGCGAAAGACAAATACCATATGATCTCACCTATAAGCGGAACCTAACCAACAATACAAAGATGCAAGGAAAATAAGACCAGCAACACTGAAAGGAAAAGAAATCAACAAAGACAAGAGGAAAGGAGGGAGGGGCGGGCAGGGAAAGGGAAGGGAAGGGGAAAGTCAAGGACCATATAGCAAGAACTCATGGACAAAACCAAAGGGGAAGAGCTGAGGGAGGGAAGGTGGGAGGGGGCAAGGGAAAGTGGTGGGGGGGAGGCAGAAACAAATGTATTCAAAAATAAAGAAAGAAAGAAAGAAAGAAAAATAAGCATTAACCTCTGGATTTGAATGAGCTACTACTAACTTAAGAAAAAAATACAATGCCTTCTACAACTCTAAAGACATTTTTTTCCTTTTAAGTCAGAGGGAAATCTGTGATTGATCACAGGAAAACACAGAACTACAAGTAAATGTTAAATATGTGTGTGTTTGTAATCCAGTTAATATATATATTAAAACCTGGACATATCTTTTATGTAATGATTATTTCCATCATTATATAAATAACTGCTTCAATTACCACTCAGTCTAAAACCTGTAATAATCTAGTTTAGATCCAACACACAGCACACCCAAATACTGAAGTCTCCTGTTAAAAATGGGGGGTGGGAATAAACACCATAGATGGTGCCCTATTTAATGGAGTGGCTTGTATTGGTGTGTATATGCTTCTCCATGTGTGTCTGTGTTAGAGTCATGTTGTCTAAGTTGTTATTCATGTCAGGGATTGCTTATTAAGTTTACTACCAAATCACATCAAAGAAAGTGAAATACAAGCATTATATCACAATAAAAATAATTCTTCAGAAGCTGAAAATTTTAATACGCTACCTTTTGTTTTTAACAATGACACTAAATAATTTATTTGACTGGTATTTTTGCACAACTCATGTATTTCATTAAAGGGACCAGTTGTTTTGGTGTAACTTAGATATTCAGACACACTAAAGGTCAATTAGCCAGCTAAAAGCATAGCAGTTAATAATTTAGAAAAGAAATTCTAAATAGTTTTTAGTACAAGTAATTCTTAAGATAGAGTTTTCAGAAAAATGTTCAATAGTTCTTCAATTATTTATATAAAAAGTATATTTTGAATAACTTAAACTTATTAAAGTTTTGACAATTTATAACAAACTATGCTGGTTTAAATTTTTTTTTAAATCCTAGGATTTTTGGTATTTTTCTTTCTCAGTTTGCAAGAACAAAATATCAATTGACTTCAATACAAAGAAATCTAGCCGCTAATTAAAACTTTTTTCCCCTCTAAAGGAGTCTCATGCGTTGAATATATAGAATAACTACGATAAAAGCTTTTAAAGCATTATGTATGAACATGCAAACCAATTTTCCCTAAAGTTCCAGCTGAATTTGGAATTATTCCTGTCATACACATGGTATCCCATTATATTGTTTTATATTAGAAACAACATTGCATAAAATTATATAAGCAAAGATTTTTGTAGAAGAGAGAACATAATGCACAGGATGTTTTATTTAATGTTTCTATATGTGATTATAAGTTTCCCCTACACTTACGAATGGTCTCCTAATTCATATGCAGAAATACTGTTAAAGGCTCTCACACATTAAGTAAATCTATTAGAATCAGTTAAATTTAAAACTAATAAGCAATGCAGTCAAACAAAGGGGTCTTGAAAACAAGAGAATTAGCACTTGAACTGCTGATAAGAATGAATGGTCATTGTGCTGAGTTTTTCAATGTCAAAACCTATTTTATTACCTCAATGATTATTTTGGCACTTTCCCTGTGGTTCTGCATTCATTGAATTAAGTTTTCTATACATACAAATACACATAAGGTTAAGAGAAGTTCTGGCATATTTACCTAGACAAGTAGTAAAATACATTACTGAAACAAGTATTTGTATATTATAGGCAAAAACTGCTCCTGGACTGTGATTAAACTAGTAATTGCTTTAATTTCCATTAAATTTCATGGATATAAACAGAAGCAATAATAATATACCACAAAAGCAGAATCTACATATGCAACTTGATTTTGATCTTACACTACTAAAATTTTAAAATGCTAAATTGCTCATAGGGTAATGCCAGGAGATGATGATATAGGTTAAATTCCCTTGGATGTTCTTTACAAATCAATGGCTGCTTTCAACCTTGTTGAAATCATGGCATGACAGACACCAGAAACTTAGCCATTAACTACTCCAGGCAAGTTGGTACATATATTGTCATTTATGACTACCGGGTGGGTCAAAAGTCGGTTTACAGTTGTTTGTATGGAAAACAATAAAATAATTAATAAATAATAATACAAGAATACACTGTTTCATGTACTCACAACTGTAAACCTACTTTTCCCTCACCCTATACAAAGACTATAAAGCTTATAGAGATGAACTTCATAGCCATAGATGATTCACATCTTTCATTCATTTTACAAATATAAATTGAATACATAGGATGTGCTAAGCATAGGCACAGAGGATATAATGGCAGGGAGGCATGGGGAGCAGCAGAGATCTGATACAATTTCCTTTCTTTCTAGAGCTTCACTTTCTTTCTAGTGCACCACTGGTCTGAAGCTAAAACAGGAAAAGCACACCTCACCTGTGAGTTGTCGCCGTCTACTCTGGGTTGTTTCACAATTTGTGGAGCAGGGCGTAAACTTGGACCAAGCAGTGAAGGTGCAGTCATCTCGACACGGGACAGTGCATTCTTGTACCAGGGGAGGCATGCTACTTGTCTGCTTGAGGCATTTGGTCATTTCTTCTGACTGGTTATCATTAGAGATGCATGAGACAACTAAAAAGAAAAGCACACATGGATTATTTTGATTGAATCAGTCTGCTACTGGTTCTTTGACAAAAATAGCAGAATCCCCCAATGTTTGGAAATTTAGTTATCACTGTGATTGCAAAAGGTGTTCAATATAGCTACTCTTATTTCTCTCTGAAAATTAAATGTTTATTGTTGTCAGTGGAGGTATTTGAGGATTTCATTGGTTACATCATTACTTCAAACCCTGCATTGACAGCAGCACCCAAAATAATTCAGTAATCTATCATGTAACCCTGCTTATGAGCATCTGACCTCTAGGAGTGATATAAAACTAGGTAAGAGAACTTGCAACAGTGAGTAAATGAAGACAAAAAAGATCAAAACCACAAAAACGCCATCTGAACTCTTCCTAGATTTTCTTGTCAGTTTGCTTGTTTAAATGTCACTTATGGAAATGGTCTTGTTTCACTTCACAGTCAATATTTAAAAAAGAATTTCTGCTGTCAATAAATAAGCTTTTTTCTCTTTATTAAAATTTCAGGAACAGTTAAAATTGTTAACTTTTTTTAAAGTACAGGCATAACCTATTGGGATAATTCCCACTACAAGTATTCTACCAATTGCAGACAACTTTCCAAAGTTTCTTTCACATATTATTTTTTTTCAAATGGAGTGTCTCTAGTCAAGCCATAAAATAAATAAAACTTTATAAAATTTTACATTTTTTGTTTGAATTTTGCACCAGTGGCTTAATCATGAACGATATGTTTGTGCATCTTTTATTCACTCTGATTAGTTATGGACTCTCTAAAGATGTATTTCTAGGTCCTCTAGACCAGTGTTTCTCAATTTGACATTACTCACCTAGGAATTTTTTTAAAATTGCTTTTAGAGAGAAAGAAAGAGAGAGAAACATCAATGTCAGAGAGAAGCATCAATTGGTTGCCTCGGGTACATGCCTGGACAGGGGATTGCACATACCCATGCCCAGACTGTGATCAAACCTGCAACCTAAGCATGTTTCTTCTCTGGGAATCAAACCTGCAACCCTACGGTTATGGGAGAACACTCCAACCAATTGCAACACACAGGCCATGATGGCGCTATCAATATTTTAGATTGAATAATTTTTTTTATATGGGTACATCATTGTTTCTTGTGCACCATAGACTATCTAGCGGCAACTCAGGCCTCTAACCATTAGATACCAGTAGCACACATACCTTCCCAGTTGTGAAAACCAAAAATTACTCCAAACATTGCCCCAGTTGGAAACTGTTCTTTCAAATGGTTCCTAACCATGGTCATCTACGAGATACAGAACTTCCATGGCATGACTTCAGACACACTGTATCGCCATCTCTAGGGGAGGAACCCAGAGTTTTTCTGCAAGGGCCCCAGGTGGTTTTGATCAGCCTGTCCACTGAACACCCACACTTGGCATGGTACCTTTTGACATGGTATGTGTTAATGGATATTTGCTGAGATCATCATTGTAAAGAAACCATAGTATAGGATCATTTTTATTACAGCTCTTTAAAATTTACCAAGTTAAAGGAATAAGTAAGCCACAGCTTACGATCAACATTGTTAAAACTCTTTGTATAAACTACTCCGATACAGGGTTAGTGTTCATGGGGAGGGGGTTCCTTTCAGTTGCCCATTCTTTGTATATTCTCAATTACTTTCTTTATTCTGAGCACAGAAAAGAACAAGGCAGTCTGAATAACAGTTTTTTTAAAAACTGGTGAACACCAAACTTATCTACTGCTTTAGGACCAAGGAATTAGCTAAAATGACGATGATGCACATGCAATAATTCCCATTTGTATATCTGCACTGTGGGAGGTGGGGCTAGTCATTCACCTTGAATAGTTTTGTTTTTAACCACATCTAGGAATGAAATTCATCACACATAAAGCCAACATCACCTGTATTTTTTAATCCAGAATATTTTTATTGAGAATATAAAAATAATTTTATTGGGAATATTTGTACTGGGAATTTTGGGAATTTTTATTGGGAAATTTTATTGGGAATCTTTAATATTTCCAATAAAATATAGTAAGGTACTTTATTAAGCAGGGTGCAAGCAAATGTTATTTGAATTGCATGTTTAGATAAATAATTTAGGTTCAATTTAGGGGGTTTTTATCATGCCAAGTCAATTTTTTTCCAAAATAGCAATACACTGAAAAACATGAGGAATTTTAAGTACTGCCAAAAAGTATTGGTATTTGACATTTAAACCTCCCTTTCTATATATAAATGAGGATTTTTCCAATGAAAATAAATTATTTTACAATATTCAAAAGAAATTATAGACACTAAATGTCTAAAACTTGAATGCTGTGATAATTCAATTTTAAATGATATTTTGAAGTTCTACAAACTATTTATTTAAAGTAGTACACACTGGATTTTTGAATGTCTATAGCAAAGTATTTTGCATTAATAAAGGAAAACATAAGAAATTAAGAAAGAATAGCTTTAGCATACGTTGGAGTTAAAATACATTGTCAAATGGCAGAAATGCAAATACAAATATAAACATTTGGGATTTATGTGAACTGAGATTTGTTATTTACATTTTTTATGCTTTAGTCTCCTCGTTTTTGAAATGAGTACAATAAGAACACCTATAACAAAGAATTGTGAGAATTCTTAACACAGTGTCTCATATATACTAAGGGCTCAATAAGTGCTGTCAATTGTTATTATCCTTTATATCTGTTTTTAAATTTGTTTTAAATCAATCAAGCTATAGTTCTCCTACCACGTATATATGCAAACATGCTCACTCTCCATGCCTCATTTCTTCTTTGGTCATCCTTAAATTCTGAAGGATAAGGTGAGGAGAAAATTGTTTGAATCTTCACCTTATTCTGGCACTACACTGAGAATCATCATTGATCAACCAATATATCAGATAAGCCTTTAACACATCCATGGAGCTACACAGAGCAAATCAGATCCATCACTCCTGCACAAACTGATGTATTAAACTAGTCTAATGGAGAAACTAGAGTTCTTTAAGTGCTACAGAATGCATTCAAAATGGAAGCATGAAGTCAGCAACAACCACATTAGTCTGAAGACCACTACTCTGTGTGACTACTGATGATCAAGAAACCCAAGGGCAAATGACAACTGACACATTATACAGATCATGCAATCATCTGTTTGGCCTAGGTAATAAGTTTTTAGATTCCTTTAAGTTCAAGACTCTGATTTCAAGTGTGACAGGAATGACTAACAAAACAAAGTTACACATACAGAATGGTTATCAGAGGAGAAAGTGGGTGGGCAATGTGAAGTGGGTACAGGGATCAAACAGAGGAAAACTAGACTTTGGATGGTGAGCACACAATAGAGTGAGTGAGTGAGTGAGTGAGTGTGTGTGTGTGTGTGTGTGTGTGTGTGTGTGTGAGAAACTATAATCTTGTATATCTGGAAATTATATAATATTATTAACCAATGTTACCCCAATACATTTAATTAAAAAGTCACTAAATCAGTAGGAACAAAATTTTCTTCTTGGAAATATTCTTGTATAAAAGGAATTATTTAATTAACAAATATTTGATGAATGACCGGGTATTGAACCTTAATAAAGGGTAGAAAAACACTGAAGAAATAGCAAACAAGAAGTCTGCAGAATGGGAAAACTGGCAAAGAAAAGAAAATAAATACATAAACAAAGAAAATTAAAATGGAAGAAATTTAGAGAAAATATGGATAACTGGTAGCCAAAGGTAAAACCCACAGCAGAGGCCCCTTCCACAGGGCAACTATGGGCAAAATTATTTTTAAAATATTAATTACTTTTCACCCACAATATAGTTTTGTGACTGATATTAAAGTTTTGCAGATTCCTTAATCCAGAGAACCTCTTTAGTAGAGTATGCTGATCAAATTGTAGGTCTTGGTGTCAAACGGAACTAATGGTGACTCTCAATTTTACTGTTGCCTTGGGCAAAATATGTAAATTCTCTTAAGGCTCAAGTTACTGGTATCCCAGTGATGGAGAAGATAATAATACCTACATCATATAATAAATTGATGCAGATGAAGTGCTAGGAACATAACGGAGCACTTAGTACACCAGTACACATGTCTTGAGAGTTACATATCATTATTAAGAAAGTTACTGGAAATGAAATGTAAGAAATGATATTAAAGAAGAATCCATCATCACTTGTATTGGTTCTTGATTGAGGAGGATTTTCCAAATCCCACCAAACCCTCTTGACACCTAAGAAGTGTGACTGGAGCCTCCTTTGAATTACAATGCTGAAGTCACTGGCTTCTTCCATGGATAACCTTCCCAAGGATACTGTATTTTCAAATGATTCTCTGTGCATTCTGCTTAGTGTCAACAACAATTAGGCTGCAATATAAGCTTGCAACTCCAGGAAAAGTCAGAAACTGAAATCTAAGGCCTGTGGGGAATTCTTCCCAAGTACCAAGACTGAAACTCTTAACAAAGCTTAACAAAAAGATTAACGAGAGGAAAATGAATGTTTGTACAAGTATGCTGGAAAGTTTTACATCTTTATGCTTCCCTTACTGAGGTGATCATATCCAGCAGAAACAGGTACTATGCCCCTCTATGTTAAAGCTGACTTCACAGGGATTTTAACATCTAGGTAATATTTAGGGGCATCTATCAAAGCTTTTCTGACTGTTAGTACCATTTGGGGCTTCATTACTGATCAGAAGAGTAGTACGCATAAATCAGAAGACATAGCTTATGCCCTGGGATCAGGAATGACCCTTGTTAAGGACACTTTCTCTCCTTCTATGATGGTCTAGACAATAAACTTTGTTTATATACACAAACCTTTATTACCTACACCTCCTGCCCTAATAGATGTTATAGAACTTGATCCATTCATTTATCCATCCACTTACTTGGTCACAAAATACATATATAAAGAACTGTGACCAATTATAAAAGCACTGTGTATGCACACATATGCATGTACATATAAACAATCAGTTTCCAGATGGCTAGAGTAGTG